TTAAAACATGTTTTTATTGTGTCTGAATACGCACCACCCACAGTCTGCCAACTCAGCCGTGTCAGGGTGCGGGACGGCGTCCACGCCGCCATGCAGAGCCCTGTGCCCAGAAACTGAAACCGTGTGCACAAGAAGCGCCCCCCCGGCCCTGCACCCACTGCCTGCAGCCGTCTGACAACTTGTCGCCATCAGTGTCGCTCGCGGTGCCTGCACCTCACACAGACATGCAGCACGTATTCCCTGTGTGTGGCCTCTCTCACTGCAGGAAATGCCTTCTAGATTCTTCCGCAGGGTGGCTTTCCCACGGCCCGGTCACCCGCATCTGTCTCCCAGAGCTCCCAGTGAGCAGCCTGGTTTTATGCTGGGAATACACAGCTCGATTGGTATCTTTCCTCGTTTTTGTTGAGACACTTAGCAACTTATTTATTTATGAGAGAGAGAGAGGAGAGAGAGTGAGAGAGAGTCAGTCCCATCTGCTGGTTCATACCTCAGACGCCTGTAACACCTGGGGTTGGGCTGGGGGCTCCATCCTGGTCTCCCATGTGGTGGCAGAGACCCAAGCATGGAGCCCTCGCTGCTGCCTCCCAGGTCACACTAGCGGGAAGCTGGGGCCGGGACTCACAGCCGGGAGCTCGGAGGTGGGCTGCGGGCATCTTAGCTGTGAGCCAGGTGCCCGCTTCCACTGTGGCATTCTGACACGCACACGCGGAGCACATAGAGTGCGTGCTGTCTGCTGACTGGGCCAGAGTCACGTTTCCACATGCTTGCTTTGGGTTAGAAAAGCAACAGGACAGATGCAGGTGCCTGCTCCCAGCCCCCAGTCCCCAGCACCCAGTGCTGAGTTTTCTTTTTTTAAAAGTTTTTTTTTTTTTAATTATTTGAAAGAGTTACACACACAGAGAGAGAGAGAGAGCGAGAGAGCGAGTTTCCATCTGCTGGTTCCCTCCCCAGATGGCTGTAACAGCCAGTCAGGGCTGGACCACGCTGAAGCCAGGAGCCAGGAGCTCCATCCTCACCTCCCAGGTGGGTGCAGGGGCCCAGGCACTTGGGCTGTCTTCCACTGCTTTCCCAGGTGCCTATTAGCTGGGAGCTGGATCAGAATTGGAGCAGCCACGACATAAGCCAGGCACACCTATGTGGGTTGTGGACGTCGTCCCAGGCGACATTTTTTTTTTTTAATTTATTTATTTGAAAGGCAGAGTTACAGAGAGGCAGAGGGAGAGAGAGGGAGAGACAGAGAGGTCTTCCATCTGCTGGTTCACTCCCCAGATGGCCGTAACAGCTGGAGCTGCGCTGATCCAAAGCCAGGAGCCAGGAGCTTCTTCCAGGTCTCCCATGTGGGTGCAGGGCCCCACGGACTTGGGGCATCTTCTGCTACTTTCCCAGGTGCATTAGGAGGGAGCTGGATGGGAAGTGGAGCAGCTGGGACTTGAACCAGCATCCTTATGGGATGCCGGCACTACAGGTGGTGGATTTACCTGCTATGCCACAGCACCGGCCCCCAAGCACCTTAACCACTGTGCCACACACCTGGCCCCTGCACGGCCACTATGAAGAGCCTGCCTATGTGTGTTTTTTAAAACCAGTTTTTTTTGCACTAAAATAAACTCATCCATTTCTTCCCCTCATTTTTTTTTATGAATTTCTTGCGGAGCCCTCGTGCCCGGGGGTGGTGGTTCCCCAGCAAGCAGCCAGAGGCGAAGCCTGGTGCAAACAGTTTTCCCAAAGCGTGTGGTCCCAGGGGAGCCGAGTGAGGGGAGAAACAGGCGCTCGAGCCAGGGAGGTGCCCCTGGGGAGCAGGCTGTGGGGAGGGCGCAGCCACTTCTCTGCCAGCTCCCACTCTCTCCGGGCAAAGTTCACTCGCAGGGAGCCCCAGCCCCTGAGGGGCCAGCAAATTTGACAGGGCAGACGCGTCCCCTGCTGCAGACATGGGGACTGTCGGCCTGGGGGAGCCGGGACGCTTTCAGGGGCGTCCACGCTGGCCCTGTCCTGGAGTCACTCGTCCTGTCCTCTGCCCAGTGCTGCCGCCCTGGAGTCTCCCTGGGTGGCCTCCGGGTCACTCGTGTGAGCAGCTGGTTAGCAGCCCCCCACGCCTGCACTCCCCAGGGTATGCCGCCGCCCTCCCCGGCTGTCACATCAGTGAGGACTCGGACGGGTTGGTCCCGGTGGAAACTGAGGGTGCTGGCTTGCCCCAGAAGTTTCTTTAGCAAGGTCAAAAGTGCCTGCCGCACTCCTTGGGAGCTTCCCGTCTTATCGTGAGAACTTGAGGGAGTGGTGACCCCACCCTCCCGAGCCCTGTACTGCAAGTACAGGTCCCACCATCCGATGGCTCTTTGGTTTTATCCTGAGCAAGCCCAACAGGGCAAAAAGATTGCAAATCAGGTCTTTTGATGGCTTTGTCCTGCTTTGTACTGGTTGGCAGACCCCCCCCCCCCCAACCCAGAATTGTGCTTAAAAACCCGACTGCTACCCGCCCCTTCGGGTCTTCCTCTCATGGCAAGTTTCCAACTTAAATAAATCCTGCTTTTCTCTCTGCCTCGTCCATGTGTTAATTCTTCTTTCATGTGAGACAAGGAACTGAACCAATCTGTTGGCGACCGTGTCCCACGTAAGATGGGGAGGGAGTGGGGAATGGGCCAGGTGTCCACGAGGGGTGTTTGTGGGGAAGCACGAGTTCTGAGCTCCTCGGCAGAGGGTCCTGCACTCCTAAGAACTTCTGGGCCTCAGAGGCCACCAGGGGAGCAGGATTGGAAGTGGAGCAGCCGAGACTTGAACCAGCGCCCTTAAGGGATGCTGGTGCCACAGCTGGAGACAGTCCGCTATGCCACAGCACCTGGTCCCGACTGAGGAACACGGAGCACCCGGAACTCCAGGGAGCGCCAGCTGTGGGGAGGCCCCCAAGGCCTCGAGCCCCAGCCTGGGGGCTCCTGGACACTAATTTGGGGCTGTGGGCGGACACCCTCCATGGACCAACTTGCTGCCCTGAGCCGATCCCGGTGCCCTGGTGGGCACTTTGGTCTCAGCACCGCTCCCGCTGGGGTTAGTGGGAGAACCCAGCTCTCTGCATGCGGGCGCCCCCGCTAAGCACTTGGCACCTCACCCGGCGGCCAGGGCCCCGCCCCTGGAGGGTCTGGGTTACCCCTGTGGAAGAGCCCCGCGCGGTGGCCGTCTCAGGCTCTGCGGTGCCCAAGCCCTGGGGTGCTCAGCATGGTGCACACTCGCGTGTCGTCTGTGTCTGGCGTCTCCTGGTGTCCCCTGTGCCGGGGCAGAGCTAGCGTGGCTTGTTTTAGTCCCAGCTGTGGGCGTTTGGCCCCTAACCGGGGACCCAGCTCAGGTTCATGGACGGGGCGGGGGTGGGCAGGGGCTCAGGGCTCCTAGGCGTGTCTCGCCTCGTGCCGGTGCACTCCGCCGTCTGGTGCCGTCTGTGCTGTGGGTTTTGTCATTGCTTTCAAAGGTCGTGAACGAGTTGAATCGTGTGAACCCTGTGTCTACATCGAGCAGGAGGACCGTGCTTTTTTCTCTTTTATTCTGCGAGTGTGGCGAGTCACCCTGGGTGCAGGGGGTGTCGAGCCATCTTCTGTGCCTGGTCTGCGTAGACCTGGACAGGACCCCCCCTCCCCCCCGCCATGACCTCCCAGATCTCTGGGTAACTCCCAGTACCCAACACGAGGGTAGCTCAAAGGGCTTGTGGGAAATTGAATATAAGGATGAGTTTATTTTGGTACAAGAAAGTGCATGAAGAATGCAGGTCGTGCAACAGCCGGCCACATCCCCAAGGGATGGCGAGGGCGCGGCTGGATGGGAGGGGCTCCGCAGGTGGGGGTCCTAAGTCTGCACCCCAGGCCCGCTGTCGCGGGTCCAGGTGTTGCCTTCCCACAGGCAGCAGTCTCTTCCGGTCTTCATACCTGAACACCCAAGCTGGGCCCCCTGAGAGTGGACATAGGACTGGCAATGGCTCCTCTACCCTCACCTGCTTCTCCCAGGACGGTGGGGGTCCCTCCCTGAACTTGGCCTTGAGTTCTGTGCCTGTACCATCACACCCCTCCCCCCCTGCAGGTGTGCCAGTCTATCTGCAGAGGTCCCTGGGTTCCAGCCCCACCGCAGTTGGGTGGGTGTCAGATCGAGGTAGAGACAGCTGTTGGGGGACAGGATGGGGTGCTGAGCTGCCCCCAGGTCACGTGGGATGGGAGCGTGGACGCAGTGGCTGAGCAGGCAGCTCCAGGGTGGAGTTGAAGCCACAGCCTCGAGAGCTCCCAGGGCCACGCAGAAGCAGAAACCCCGGGAGAGAGCCCTCCCCACTCCCGGAGGCTGCCCCCAGCCCTTCCTGTTCTCGCCCCGCCCCTGTCTCCTGAGGGTCCCTCCTCCACTCCACACACACCCTCCCCCACTCCGCTCTCTGACCTGGCCTTTGCCATTCGCGTGGTCCCCAACTACGCGGAGCGAGGCCTGAGCCGGAGGACCCGCGAGGGAGAAGGGGTGCGCACAGCCTGCGTGTTTGCATCCCCCACATCACGGCTTCAGGAGCTTGCCCCTATTCCCCAGCGCAGTGGGGCTAGGGGCGGGACCTCGGCCGTGGTGAGTGACTGGGGTGAGCACCCGCCATGCCACAGCCCCCCGGGAAGCCCTCCACTGCCTGCTTTGGTCCCGGACGTCCAGCCTCTGTGCCCGAGTGTCACAAATGGGCTAGGATGGTGTGCTCAGTGACAGCAGGGTGGCTGCGGGGGTGAGTTTGGCCCCATCAGGGCAAGTCCCCTGCCCCCAGATACCGAGAGGGCGTGGGGGCCCTGCATGGTGGGGGCTGGGCCGGCGGTCACTGACACCCTGCCTGAGCCAGCTTCCCTGGTCCGGGGCATGTGCTGCTTTCTGGGTGGAGTGCGGGCCCAGCTCCCGTTATCCTGCAAACTGTCCCCCTCCCTGCCCCCGCATACCTGGAAATCGGGAGACAACCACCTAAAAGGCTGGGTGAGTCTGTTGTGTATTTAAAGGACGGAGACTGGAACTTTTTTTTTTTTTTTTAATTTATTTGAAAGGCAGGGTTACAGAGAGGCAGAGAGGGGGGTGGGGTGGGGTGGGGTGGGGAGCTTCCATCGGTGGTTCAGTCCCCAAATGGCATCAACTGGTGGAGCTGGGCTGATCCAAAGCCAGGAGCCAAGCAGTTGGCCCATCGTCTGCTGCTTTCCCAGGTGCATTAGCAGGGAGCTGGATCGGAAGTGGAGCAGCGGGGACTTGAACTGGCGCCCTATGGGATGCTAGCGCTGCAGGCAGCGGCTTTACCTGCTACACCACAGCACCAGCCCGATTGGGGCTCCTCGTGATGGAAGAGGAGCTGAGGAACGCCCGTCAGAGCCTCGCGTGAATGTTCACAGTGGGCGAGGGGCGGGGCACGCAGGACAGGTGCTGCACAGGAGAGAGGCTGGAGCAGAGGGGAGGCCACAGAGCTGATTCTTCTTGGGCCCAAGGACCGTGTGTTTCTCAGCAGGAGGTGAAGGGGAAGAACTCGCCGTGGTGAGGAAGATGGACATGCAGGGGTGGGGAGGAGGGTCTGGTTCTCAGGGTGCTGGGAAAGGCAGAAGCTAGGCTGGGACCATGCTGCCTGCCCAGGGGGGGCCCTGATTGGGTAAGAATCTTGCAAAGTTAATATCAGATCTTGCACTGGCAGCACACGGGCACACAGCAACCGCAGCTGGACTGGGAGCAGCAGGGTTTGCAACAGCTGGACTGGCAGCAGCTGGACTGGGAGCAGCAGGGTTTGCAACAGCTGGACTGGCAGCAGCCACAGGAGCCACAGCTGGAGGAGCAGGCGGGCACACAGCAGCACACGGGCTTGCAGCAGCACACGGGCACACAGCAGCTGGACTGGGAGCAGCAGGGTTTGCAACAGCTGGACTGGCAGCAGCCACAGGAGCCACAGCCCCCCTTGGAGCCCCCACAGGAGCCACAGCCCCCCTTGGAGCCCCCACAGGAGCCACAGCCCCCACAGGAGCCCCCACAGGAGCCACAGCCCCCCTTGGAGCCCCCACAGGAGCCACAGCCCCCCTTGGAGCCCCCACAGGAGCCACAGCCCCCCTTGGAGCCCCCACAGGAGCCACAGCCCCCACAGGAGCCACAGCCCCCCTTGGAGCCCCCACAGGAGCCACAGCCCCCCTTGGAGCCCCCACAGGAGCCACAGCCCCCACAGGAGCCCCCACAGGAGCCACAGCCCCCCTTGGAGCCCCCACAGGAGCCACAGCCCCCCTTGGAGCCCCCACAGGAGCCACAGCCCCCCTTGGAGCCCCCACAGGAGCCACAGCCCCCCTTGGAGCCCCCACAGGAGCCACAGCCCCCCTTGCTGCCCCCACAGGAGCCACAGCCCCCCTTGGAGCCCCCACAGGAGCCACAGCCCCCCTTGGAGCCCCCACAGGAGCCACAGCTGGAGGAGCAGGCGGGCACACAGCAGCACACGGGCTTGCAGCAGCACACGGGCACACAGCAGCTGGAGCCGCAGCCCCCACAGCTGGAGCCGCAGCCCCCACAGCTGGAGCCGCAGCCCCCACAGCTGGAGCCGCAGCCCCCGGAACAGCCAGAGCAGCCCATGGTTCTGGAGGTTGGAGTGGAGTGGTCAGAGGAGCAGGTGCAGAGGGAGGTGTCTGTGTGGCGCCTCCTGGGCGGGGCCCTTTATATGCCTGCCCAGGTCGGGGAGAGGCTGGGCTATGGTCGCTTCCTGGTTCCTGTTTGGGCCATTTTTAGAGCCTGGTTCTCCTGTTTTCCTCTGGGCGCTGGTCACTGTGTATGTCAGGTGCCACTAAGAGCTGGGTTGCCCCGTGGGCCCAGTTCCTTGCTGGATGTTGTTCTGGGGACAGGGAAGCCCCCACCCCCACCCTGGCCCAGTGCATTCCTGTTAACCGCAGAACCACCCTTGGTTTTTAAAGCCCCCTATTCTAGGTGCACCAGGCGGGAGACTGATTCATGAAAACACCCAGCTCGGGTTGGTGTGCGCAGTGTGTCAGGCCGACGCGGGCATCCCTGACACGGCGCTGGGTCGAGAACCGGCTGCCCTGCTTCTGAGCCGCCCCACGGTAATGGACTGGTGACGGCACAAGGGCTTGGATCCCTGCCACCCTGTGGGAGACGCAGACGGAGTTCCGAGTCCTGCTTCCGCAGATGGAGACCTCTCTCTGTGGGTTTGCCTTTCAAATAATTAAATAAATAAATCCATAAAAAGTGAACTCATGAAAACAATTGCACAAATAGATGAGTCCCCCTCACCTGTCTCTGCAGGATGTTTGCTTTGCACCCCAATAAATTCCTCAGTGTGGAGTTGCCCACCCCCAGGCAAGACCTTACAGTCTGCAGAGCCAGCATCCCATGTGGGTGCGGGTTCAAGTCCCGGCTGCTCCGCTTCTGATCCAGCTCCCTGCTGATGCACCTGGGAAAGCCGTGGAGGATGGTCCACGTGCTTGGGCCCCTGCACCCGTGTGGGAGACCTGGAGGAAGCTCCTGGCTCCTGGCTCCCGGCCCATTCCTGGGAGTGAACCAGCGGATGGAAGATTCTTTCTGCCTTTCAAATAAATAAATAAATCTTTGAAAAAAAAATGCCACACTTGGCGTAGGCTTCACGTCCCTGGTCCTGCACGGCGAGGGAGGGGCTGCTCCCTGCGATGCTCGGCTGCCTTCTCTCGGCTCTACATGCAGCCGGCTGACTCCTCCTCTTCCTACTGACGGACACGGCGGATGCTCCCTGCTCCGCCCAGCAACGCTGCCAGTGCCCCTCGGGCGGCGGCCACGCCTCCCACCTGGGCGCCTGTTTCTGGCACCGGCTGCCACTCACTCACTCGTAACCCGCAGCTCGCACACTTGGCCGCTGTTTGGCGAATTTCCTTCCGGGTCCTGTGACCGCAGACAGAACCGCGTCCCGGGTGGTTGCTGCTGCTCTCTGAAAAATCTCTTCCGCACCTGCTGACCGCCCTCGCACTCCCCCTGCTGGCCGCTTCTGGGACCACACATTTTAAAATGACAAAATCCTTCCCTTCGCATTAAAAGAACTCCCCAGTCCCCCCACGGGGCGGGAGGGGGGGCTTTGAAAAGTTCAGAGGAAACCAGTACCCTCCTTTAATTCCATATCCATGAGCTCTGCAGCCCTGCAAGTGTGTGTGAGCGTGAATGTGTGTGTGTGAGAGAGAGAGAGAGAGGGAGAGAGAGGAAGTTTGGAATTTAAAGAATCTGCCTGGAATTGGGTTCCGTGTGTTTCTGGAGGTAGCAACTTCACCTGCTTGGCTTTTTTCTGGCACGGAGTGTTCGGCTGTCCCGGCGTTTGCCACCCGACTCTTTGTGCGTGCCGGGGCTCCACTCTGTGGGTCCTGGCCCTGACACCCTGGCGCTGCAGCCCTGGGCCAGCCCCAGCTCTGTCCCCCGAGCCCCACGCAGAGGAATCCTAGAGCCCTTTTGCACTGGCCCCGAGTTTATGGAGTAACTGGGGAGAGAATGGGCGCACTCCCACCTGGGGATGTCCTGGGGGTCTTCACCCTCTCCAGAGGCAGCGTAGCCCCCTCCCCCAAACCCAGGCTCCCACCTGGTCGTTCACCCTGGGGACCTCTTCCTGTGGCCGCTGTCGCCGCCTTTTCTAACCATTATTGATTGATGGATTAAGGCGGATCCCATCTCAGCAGTCCCAGTTTTAATGCTAACAATTTATCTGTACAGGCCGGCGCCGTGGCTCACTAGGCTAATCTTCCGCCTGTGGCACTGGCACCCCTGGTTCTAGTCCTGGTTGCCCCTCTTCCAGTCCAGCTCTCTGCTGTGGCCCGGGAGCGCAGTGGAGGATGGCCCAAGTGCTTGGGCCCTGCACCCCATGGGAGACCAGGAGAAGCACCTGGCTCCTGCCTTCGGATCAGCGCGGCGCCGGCCATAGCGGCCATTAGTGGAGTGAACCAGCGGAAGGAAGACCTTTCTCTGTCTCTCACTAACTCTGACTGTCAAAAAAAAAAAAAAAAAAAAAAAACCAAACTAAAACAAAACAATTTATCTGTCCGTCCTGTGGCTTCTATGTTGCCAGGAGATTTCAGCTCATTTTGGAGCCTGTGTTGTTTCTTGTGGCAATGGACCCAGCGAGGGGCAGGCCCGCCTCCTTCCTGGTTTATGACGTCTGGCCACTAGGTGGCGCGGGTGCTGGGAATTTTGGGGGCCCCTTCTCCACGTCACTGGCCACTGACCTCGGGGACTGTGTCTTCGGTGAGTGCCGGGAGCCCGAGGGCTCGGAAGAGAGGCGCAGAGCAGCGAGGAGGCAGCGCACGGACGTACAGCCAGACTGCAGTCATTCAGAGGCGGTGACCAGCTGCCCGCGTGCGCGTTGACGGAACAGGCAGAGGCCCGACCGCCAGGGGCCGGGTCTTTTAGATTTTAGGAGGGGGGGGTGGGGGTGGGGGCAGCAGGGAGGGGAATTCCTGGGACTGTTCTTTCAGGTGGCCGTCGGGGGAGGGGTATGAAGGCAGTAGGGTGTGGGGCCATCTGAGATCCCAGGGCCGGGAATACCTTCCAGTGTTGGTCTGCTGGACGGGGAGCGAGAACGGCTGAGGCTCCGTCTGTGCCGTCAGTGCTGACTCTGCGTGAGGAGAAGGGGCGCCGATTTCTCTCTGGCTGCTTCCTGCTGATGTGGCGCAGACTCGGAGCCAGGACTTGAGCGGGGGCCTGTGCTGGAGATCGGATTGATTGAAGACGGGCAGGCTCGCGTTGCTCCGCGAGATGGCCTGCGATACCGCAGTTTCGTTCCTGCAGGAACCTTTGGAGTAAGTTAACTATACCTGGCAGAGACAGGAGCGCTGTGATGCGAGGACAAGAGGAGATCCTAGAGCCATCGCCCAGGCGGAGACGCCGGCCAACAGGAGGCAGAGCCATCTTAGGATACCTCTCATCACTGCGGCGGCCTGGGAGAGGTGGGTCCTGCGGCGTGGACTTGCACGAGGGAGATGCTACCAGTTTCAGTGAAGTAAGATGCACCCAAGGGGGTGCCCTCTGGGCTTGGCCGCAGTGGGGGTTGTCAGCGTCACCTGGGAGGGCCGGCTCACCCTGGCGCTGGAACAGCCTCATCTGTTTGAGATGAACCCGGTCGCCAGGCTGAGAGGCAGGTGTAGGGTCGGGAGGCGGAGCGTGGTTGGGCAGGGGTGTGTCCGCGGAGCTCCGTGAGCGAGAGGAGGGGGAGAGCGAGAGAGGAGGAAGGGCTGCAGACTTCTGTCGGGGAGGGGAGTCAGGGGGGAGGGGGCTTCCAGAGAGAACCTCAGACGGGGGCGGGGAGAGGTCTGCTGCTTCGCGGAGCTGTGGGCAGGAGTTTCGCCCGGCCTCAGTGGACCGGGCGGAGAGTTTAGTTAGAGCCTGTTTTAAAATTCCGTTCATCCGTTCTGCTTTTCCTGATGAGGGGGGATGACAGGGAGCGTGACATGCCACGCGATGGGGAGAGGCAGATGCCATTCGAGTGATCTGAGAGGTGAACTCCGGTCCCTTGTCTGGCTGAGTGGAAGCAGGTAAGCTAAATCTTGGATAATATCGTGTACTGGTGCAGTGGAAACAGTGGAAGCTCCCACCCACCCCAGAAGGTGTCCACCGTCACCAGAAGGTAGCATGGGTGGAGCCAGTCTGCCGGTTCTCCCCCGGAGCCACCCGCGGGCCTGGGGGGGGGAGTGGGGTGGCCTGGCGTTAGGGTTGGGCTGAGCGGTTTGACAGATGCCACCTGGCCGAGAGCAGTTGCGCAGTGCCTCTTAGGGCGGGAGTCAGGTGCGTGTGCCATCTCAGGAAGTGGAGGAGAGAGTTGGGGTTTGAGTGACGGCGAGAATGGAGGTTTTGTAGAAAGGCAGTGTCGAGAGGAGAAGGGAGTATTCGTTTTTCAACTGGGGACCACCCTGAGTGCTTCCTAGGTGCCCCTTGTTGCTGCAACCGAGGGATTTCGAGGAGCTACGCTACAGGGAACGGCTGGTCATCGCCCCACGAGCGGCCGCTTGAGCCGTAGGTCAGCCTGGCTGTCGGCGTCACGCAGGCATTGTTTACCTTGCTGGTGGCCTTTGCGGTGATGGGCGGCTTCTGTCGGCAGCTGGGCGGCGTCAAGAAGAGCTTTAATCAACCAGCCACTTACTATGGGGTCCTCGGGCTGTCAGAGAGCCCCTTTCTTGCCGTATCTGGGCGCTGGATGGATGATACTGTAGGCATGTCGGGAGTCTGTGTAGGTCTTGCCTGTCTTGCCCTGGGTCCGGCCTGCTGGGAGGTAGTGCCCTGAGGTGGGGCCGAGCCTCTGGGACCCTGCACGGGCAAGGGGGCGTGTCATCATGATGCCCCTCGATTATTGCGGATCCACGGGGGGAGGGGGGCTTAGAAGCACTGCCATCAGGAACCACTCAGGGCTTGGGAACAGGAGTGTCTGTGAGGAGCTGAAATGTGGTCAGGGAAAGATCAATGAAGCCGGGACAGGCATGGGGTTGGGGGAGCAGAGAGGGTGGTGGGGAGGAGGCTCTGGGCTGAGAGCAGCAATGGGCTGGGGCGCGGTGGAGAGAAGAACTTGGACGCAGGACGGCGCTGCAGATCCGAACCTGGGGGCTGAGGAGGTCTGCAACCCGTGGGAGTGTTACCAGAGAAATTGCAGGGTTCTTGTCTTCGCGCAAGAAAGAATTCAGGTGTGAGACAGAGAGTTGTGGGAGGTAAAATAGCAAGGTTTATTAGGGAAGGGACATCCGTAAGGATGGGCACCTCTCCAGACAGAGCCTGAGAGGGTGCCCAGTTGCTCGGACGGGGAGGGGGGGAGCGAGGTTACATGGTTGAGTGGAGAGATGACACCTGGCCAGGCAGGCGGGAGACTCAGCAGAGAGGCAGAGGGCTGAGCGCCCGTCTGGTTGAGGCGGGGGTGGGGGGTGGGGGGTTTAAGGAGAAAGGCCTTGCTTCCCCACCTCTGCTCCTCTTGGAACAAACGGCTTTTTGGATGTAAATAGAAAAACTTCTATCTGAGTTTTCCCCTGAAGGTATCAGACAGGAGGAAGCCTAGCTGGTGCCGTCCTGGGTTCAGAGGAAGGGTGAGCAGGACCCCCTGGAGAATGGGGATCCGGAGCAGGGTGTTTGAAATGCAGATACTGGGCTGCACCTGGGAGATTGTGGGAGATTTGTCAGGCAGAAGGGGTGGGGACCCCCACCTGGCAGGTTATCAGGTAGAAGGGGGCAGGGCAGGGTGTGAATACCGGGCTGCCCCTGAAACACTGTCAGGATACTTTGAGATGCAGATGCAGATGCTGGACATAGATGTCTTCTCTTTAGGCCTTTATGTCACACACACATAAGCTCATAACTGACTTCCCACCTAACTGGAGGACCAGATTTGTAAGGGTTGGTATAGCTTAGCTCCTGCGCTTCAGGTGGGAGAAGGGCTGGCTGGCCAGGGCCCGAGGCACGGGGGCCAGCCTGGATAAACCCCATCTGAGTGCTTGGAGAAACAGGCCACAGGTGTAATAGCGTCTCCAGCCTTTGGGGCCAGGAGGCCGAGTGCCTGCCCCTTAGAGCTGTGGATGTAGAGGGGGAGTGGTTTAAGTGGGTTGGGACGGCTCAGGGCGGCTGGCAGAGGAGCCCCCCTTAGGGTTTGGAACGGGGTCTCAGGTTGCCTTTGGGCCCCCGCCCCATGCACTGTCCTTTTCCCACTGGGAGACTGGTTTGTCATGATCCCGGGAGCAGTCTGCCACTTTCTGATTACTCTTGTTAGCCCCAAACACTCAGTTTGCATTTGAGTCAAAGGTGGACTTGTGGGGAGTGGGGGTCTGCCCTGGGCAGGTGCCGTCAGCCCCGGGCCTCACCCCCGGGTTGAGGATGGGCAGAGGGAGGTGTGTCCTGCTCAGCCCTGGCCCAGGGCCTTCTGGGAGCAGAGACAGCAGGGCAGCTCGTAGGCCCCGGTGGACAGAAGCGTCCGTGTGCCACGTCCCAGCCTTCTGCACGTGTCTCCCGGCTCGGCTGACGATCCTAGGGCGGGGTGGAGTGGGGGGATTGGGAGGGGCCGGCTAAGGGAAGACGGCGAACTTCCGTCTTCTCTCTCACTTCCCCTGCCCACCCAGACCCGACCAATCGTGCCCCGTCCACGCTTGGCGAGCGTTCGCCAGTGGCTGGACCTCTCGGGCCCCAGCAGGCTTCCAGGCGGACTCAGTCCTGCCAGCCGGTGTCAGGGCTGCCACCCCGGGTGACGCAGACAAAAGGGAACTTCGGTGCCTGTTAAAGACCCCGGACCCTGCTCCCCCAGCCCGACACCCAGCTCTGGGTCCCCACTCCCTGTCTTCCCTCCGGGCAGCCCAGCCCTCGCTTTCTCCTGCTTTCTCTGTCCCTCACTGCCTGGTAGAAACGCTCTCCCATCGGCTGGACTCCGGCCTTGTTTCTGTATCGGAAGATGCCAAGGACCAGGGCGCCACCCCCCGCAGGCGCCGCAGTGGGGGAGGTGCCAGCTGGCCCCACACGGGAAGGGGTCTGCAAGGAGGACTTCGACACGGACACACACGCAGCAGGCTCAGAGACAAGGATCTTTTAAAAACTTTATTTATTTATTTGAAAGGCAGAGTTACAGAGAGAGACGGGGCGGGGGATCTGCATCTGCTGGTGCGTGGGTGCGACGGCCAGCGCTGGCCAGGCTGAGGACTCCATCCCGGTCTCCACGTGGGCAGCACGGGTCCAGGCACTTGGGGCGTCTCCGGCTGCTTTCCCAGGCGCACTGGCAGGGAGCTGGGTGGGCAGTGCAGCAGCCGGGACGGAGCCACAGCCCACACGGGACGCGGGGGCTGCTGGTGGGGGCTTCAGCTGCTGCACCCCAACACCTGCCCTGGAGGAAAGATCCTTACTGCAAGGAAGCTTGCTTGCTTCTTTATTTATTTACTTATAAGAGATGAAGCTGCAGGCCGAGGAAGGAGGGAAACCTCTAGGGAACTGAAGGCCAGGGGCACAGGAAGTGGTCCGAGGGACGCAGGGGACCAGGGTTGAGCAGCCCCCTTGCTGCCTCTCAGGAACAGCAGCCTGGCCCGGGGGTCAGAGCCTGCACCTCAGCAGCCCCGAAGAGGCAGAGAACAGTGCAGATCAGATGGGGGGTGCAGGTGTGGACGCTGCTCCAGGTGGAATGGCTCTAGGCCCCAGGCCCCTTCTCCTGAGTGAGGAGGGGGAGTCGGCAGGCAGACGGGGAGCTGAGCGCGGAAGAAGGCAACTGTGGGACTGAAAAGCAGGCAGCTCAGGAGGGTGCGTGGGAATGAACGGGTTCCCCAGATATCCGGAAACCCAAAGGCCACAGGGCAGAGCCTCGGACCTTGCACTGGCAGTAATGGGGACAGGGCAACAGGGCTGGTGGCAGCCAGACTAGGAGCAGCCACAGCTGGAGCAGGAGCAGGCGGGCACGCAGCAGCACACGGGCTTGCAGCAGCACACGGGCACACAGCAGCTGGAGCCACAGCTGCCCTGGCTGCCCCCACAGGAGCCACAGCCCCCACAGGAGCCACAGCTGGAGGAGCAGGCGGGCACACAGCAGCACACGGGCTTGCAGCAGCACACGGGCACACAGCAGCTGGACTGGGAGCAGCAGGGTTTGCAACAGCTGGACTGGCCACAGCTGGACTGGGAGCAGCAGGGTTTGCAACAGCTGGACTGGGAGCAGCAGGGTTTGCAGCAGCTGGACTGGGAGCAGCAGGGTTTGCAACAGCTGGACTGGCCACAGCTGGACTGGGAGCAGCAGGGTTTGCAACAGCTGGACTGGGAGCAGCAGGGTTTGCAACAGCTGGACTGGCCACAGCTGGACTGGGAGCAGCAGGGTTTGCAGCAGCTGGACTGGGAGCAGCAGGGTTTGCAACAGCTGGACTGGCAGCAGCTGGACTGGGAGCAGCAGGGTTTGCAGCAGCTGGACTGGCAGCAGGCACTGGAGCCACAGCTGGAGGAGCAGGCGGGCACACAGCAGCACACGGGCTTGCAGCAGCACACGGGCACACAGCAGCTGGAGCCGCAGCCCCCACAGCTGGAGCCGCAGCCCCCGGAACAGCCAGAGCAGCCCATGGTTCTGGAGGTGGAGTGGAGTGGTCGCAGGAGCAGGTGAGGAGGGAGGTTCTGTGTGGGGTTTCCTGGGCTGTGGGGGCCTTTTATATCCCTGCGCAGGTCAAGGAGAGGCTGGGCTCTGGTCACTTCCTTGTGTTGTTTACGCTATTTTCCTCATTTCTTCCCGCTTTGCTACTGGCTCAGCTGAGCGCCTGTTTCTTTGTTTTCTAGATGCGTCCTCTTCCCCTTTGGTTTGGTCCCTAGGATTAGAGCCCCAGGTGCCCTGTCAGGTGCATCCTCCGCAGCTTGGCGCACTGCTCACCTGCTCCCTCTGCTGGCCACATGTGACCAGTGGAGAATGCCTCCTGCCCACCTGCCCCAGCTCCACTGTTGACATCCCCTGATAAAAATGATTCCTTTCTTCTATTTCATAGACCTCCCACGGTCTCCCCTGGCAACAGGAAAACCCGGAGGCAGGAAACAGCCTGCCCCGATCCTGGCACTGGGGCTGACGGGTGATTGGCTCCTTTCACAAGCACAGCGCCCTCTCTGCTGCCTCATTCCCGTCAGCCTCTGGGGGCGTCCTTTCCCTGGCCCCCGAGTGAGAGGAGTCCTTTCCCTTCCCCGCGGATTTCTGGAGTCCCACACACCTCTGCGGTCAGTTAAGACTTTCGGGAGCTATTGGCACGAAACGCAGGAGGTGAGGTTTGGGGGTCAGGGTCTGAGGGTCTTCCCAGAATCTTGTGCCAGAAACCTCAGCCCTGTGGCAGCCAGTTGGGAGGTGGGGCCTCGGCGGAGGGGTGCAGGCCCTGGGGGAGCCAGCCTGTCCCCGCCACCCCTCCGCATTCTGCCGTTGGAGGTGCCGCAGGGGTCAGGAGACGCTGGTGCCTCGATGTCGGGCTGCCCAGCTCAGAACTGCGAGCTAATACATTGCAGACTTACAGAGAGAGAGAAGAGAGAGAGAGAGAGAGAGAGAGAGGTCCTCCCTCTGCTCTTCACTCCCCAGATGGCTGCCACAGCTAGGGCTGGGTCAGGCCAAAGCCAGGAGCTGGCTGGATCGGAAGTGGAGCAGCCGGGACTCGAACTGGCGCCCATATGGGATGCTGGCACTGCAGACGGCAGCTTTACCAGCTACGCCACAGCAGCAGCCCCAGGAGTCAGTTGTTTAAGAGATCAAGACAAGGGGAGTGTAGTGGGCAAAGCCGCTGCCTGCAGTGCCGGCATCCCATATGGGCTCCGGTTCGAGTCCTGGCTGCTCCACTTCCGATCCAGCTCTCTGCTATGACCTGAGAAAGCAGTGGAAGATGGCCCAAGTCCTTGGGCCCCTGCATCGGCATGGGAGACCGTGAAGAAGCTCCTGGCCCTGTTTTGCGGCCTGACCCAGCCCTGGCTATGGTAGCCATTTGAGGAGTGAACCAGCGGATGGAATCTCTCTCTCTCTCTCTCTCTCTCTCTCTGTAACTCTGCCTCTCCAATCAATCAATCAATCAATCTTAAAAATCCAGACAACCCGACTTGAGGGGTGGGTGTTTGGCCTAGTGGTTCTAACGACGCTGGTTGGAGCTCCCATGTCTTACAAAAAGCCTTTGCAATTTGTGCACGGTTTCCCACGGCCACTCTGATGGCTCCTGGCGTGCAGGAAGTCACAGCTTCTCCGTGGAGCCCTTGCCCTGGCTTCCTGCGTCCGCTCTGTCAGACCTCCTGGAACCGGGTGGCTGAGAGCAAAGAAGCCATCCCCCTGGCGCTGGGCGCCTACCCCCGCGCCTGTATCGCTGGCTGGAATGGAGTGGGGGTGCCCATCCCTCCTGGGGGACAGGAGGAGCCGGTTCTCGGCCACTCCCAGCTCAGGTGACAATGACGTCACCCCAGCTCAGGTGACAAAGACGTCACAGATGTGGCCACCTCATCCCCGCCCCCCACCTTCCTCTCACGTTGAGGGCCCGTGGGTGACCGGGGGTGGCCCCTGGAGCCCCGTCTCACATGGAGACAGGACCTTGAACCTGTGGGTCCCCTTGGCCTCCTACTGCGGTCCACCCTCTCCATCCCAGAACCCCACGAGGCACGGAGGCACCGCCTGCGACCCCGGCTCTGGCCCTGTGGCTGCGTGGGTCCCTCTGGTCAGCACAGTGCCGTCCTCCTGGCTAAGGTGCTGACTTAGCAGCTCTGCAGCCCACAGAGCCGGGGGTCTCCCCATCAGCAAGGTGCCGGCCTTGTCTGGCTGGCCCGTCCTCCCTCCCGTCACACCTCCACGCGTGCGCAGAAGCTGCTGCACTCCCAGGCCCTTCGGAAGTCCTGCTCTCCACAGGGTGCATGCTGGGACACCGAGCGCCTCTCCTGCTCCCAAGACCCCGCTCCCCTCTGGCCCTCACCTGGGCGCCCCTGGTGTCCACACTGCTGCCCAAAGCTTAGGCGAGGCCCCCTCGGCGTTCTGCAGCCATCCCCCAAGCCCTTTCAGCCTGAACCAGTTATGCACCTTGAAAGCCATCCCTGGCTGGCGCCGCGGCTCACTAGGCTAATCCTCCGCCTTGCGGCACCGGCACACCGGGTTCTAGCCCCGGTCGGGCGCCGGATTCTGTCCCGGTTGCCCCTCTTCTAGGCCAGCTCTCTGCTGTGGCCCGGGAGTGCAGTGGAGGATGGCCCAAGTCCTTGGGCCCTGCACCCCATGGGAGACCAGGAGAAGCACCTGGCTCCTGCCTTCAGATCAGCGCGGTGTGCTGGCTGCAGAGGCCATTGGAGGGTGAAACCAACGGCAAAGGAAGACCTTTCTCTGTCTCTCTCTCTCACTGTCCACTCTGCCTATAAAAAAAAAAGCCATCCCGAGGGAGCAAGCACAGAGCCCAGTGGTCAGGATGCCTGCATTCAACCTTGGGGGACCCGGGTTCAAGTCCTGGCTCCGGCTCCTGACTTCAGCTTCCTCCAGTGTAGACTGTGGCGAGGGGGGGGCAGGTGACGATTTGAGTCCTTCGGTTCCTGCCTCCACGTGGGAGCCCTGGAATGGGATCCAGACTCCCAGCTCCGGCCCTGGCCCAACCCTTCCGTGACAGCACTTGGGGAGTGAACCGGCGGCTGGGAGCGCCCACCTCTCTCTCTGCCCAACAAATACATAAATGAACGCGTGAAAGCAGAGGCCACTTTTCCACGGCAGCAGCACCCCACCCCGAGTTCCACGCCTGCAGTGCTGTCTTGTGGCCGCGACACGGTGCCTCACAAAAGCCTCTCCCTGCACCCTGGAGGCCGTGGGTCCCATGGGAGCCCCACTGAGGCGCCGGGAGAACCTGCTCCTCGCACTCCGGCGTCCGGTGGCTGCCAGCACTCTCCGGCTTGTGGCCGCATCGTCCCAAACTCTGAGTCCCTGGCCCCTCCCTGCCCGTGTCTCTCTCTGTTCAAATTCCCCTCTGCCCACCCCCTCCCGCCCTTGTGAGAGCCTGCCAGGCCCAGCCCGCTATGTCCCCGTCTCGACATCTTAACCAAAGCAGGGTGGCAAGGACCCGTTCCCAAGAACAACGCTTCTGGGGTCCATGGAGTAGAACATGAGGCGTCTTAATATGACAAGGGAAACAAGAAACACAAATAAAAATAAAATGTACCCAGAAGTGAAAGTCCCAGTGATAGAAAGCGATGCTGGGCACGACGCTGTCGACCCGGCTCACGTGAGCGCAGAGCAGGTGACTGCTGGGAAAACCAGACTCCCAGGAACACAGCCAGAGGCCCAACACGGACAAGGAAGAGGCCAGGCTTGCTAACCAGGAAGTGTCGCTGCACCCTGTGGACAGGAAGCCAGGGATAGGAGCCAGCAAACGAAAACATGGCTTAGAGGAAATGGCCTAGAGAGGAAGCGACCATAGCCCAGCCTCTCCCCTGACCTGGGCATGGCATATAAAGGGCCATGGCCCAGGAGGCTCCACACAGACACCTCCCTCTGCACCTGCTCCTCCGACCACTCCACTCTAACCTCCAGAACCATGGGCTGCTCTGGCTGTTCCGGGGGCTGCGGCTCCAGCTGTGGGGGCTGCGGCTCCAGCTGTGGGGGCTGCGGCTCCAGCTGCTGTGTGCCCGTGTGCTGCTGCAAGCCCGTGTGCTGCTGTGTGCCCGCCTGCTCCTCCAGCTGTGGCTCCTGTGGGGGCTGTGGCTCCTGTGGGGGCAGCAAGGGGGGCTGTGGCTCCTGTGGGGGCTCCAAGGGAGGCTGTGGCTCCTGTGGGGGCTCCAAGGGAGGCTGTGGCTCCTGTGGGGCTCCAAGGGAGGGCTGTGGCTCCTGTGGGGGCAGTCCAAGGGGGGCTGTGGCTCCTGTGGGGGCTCCAAGGGGGCTGTGGCTCCTGTGGGGGCTCCTGTGGGGGCTGTGGCTCCTGTGGGGGCTCCAAGGGGGGCTGTGGCTCCTGTGGGGGCTCCAAGGGGGGCTGTGGCTCCTGTGGGGGCTCCAAGGGGGGCTGTGGCTCCTGTGGCTGCTGTCAGTCCAGCTGTTGCAAACCCTGTTGCTCCCAGTCCAGCTGTTGCCAGTCCAGCGCTGCAAAC